AGGTTTTTTTCCCCCCCCCCCCCCCCCCCCCCCCCCCCCGATCCATTCGTCAAGTAAATCCTGGCTATGCCAGTGGTGTTGGCATTCTAATTCATATTACGACATTGTTTGTGTATTGAGGGTAGTTAATTGCTATGACCTCACAGAATAATAAAGTCTTTATTATAAGGGGTTGTTTGTTTACAGATCCGTGTCTTAGTCTGTGTTACTGTTCTGAATGATATGGCCCTGTCTTGTAGGTTGTTTTGTTTACTAGCCCATATATTTGTATGTGTATCTGAATTTCTAAATACGAGCATATAAAAAATAAAGATAATCAAACGCAGATGAAAGTAGCGAAAAACGAGAGAAAAAAACACTTGAACACATCAATGTCAGTATTGTTCCACGGATGAAAAGTTCGGAAACGGTATTCTGATGTGACGGAAGTTATTTAACAAGAGAAACATGATCGACTGTGGTGTATAGAACATGTAGAGATGATGTAACTTGCAACATGTCGGATATCACGCATTGTACATCCTGTATACTCATCTATTATCTAATTTAATTAAATAAAAAGATATATGTTATTTAAGATTTGAAATCTCGGTAACATTGAGTAAAAATGCCGATACCCTGTAGTTAGTGCTGGATAAATGTACAGTTTAACAGTTAAATGAAACTTATGTTCAGCTTTTTATAAGCTTTTATTTTTAATACAGTCACTACAGTTAGGGTCTAACGACAACCCTCTTGGACGTTGCCCATTTAACCCTTTGACCCTTTTAACCCGATGACGTCTGTTTCAACCAATAAAATTCCTTCACTCTCGCACAAAATCCCAGCGCTGTAACACATCAAATTTACCCAAGGAAAATTTCAAAAAACCCCACTTGGGGACATGTTCCAATGGTTGAAACCAATGCCCTAGCGTGTTCGACCCATAAGAAAAGGATATCGCAACATATCTTAAATTCACATGATATGATCCAGGCCGAAATTACTTGTATAATAGAAAACTAAATAAATAGGGTGCTAATGTTGACAATTTTCTACTCAATCCATTATATCGGTACGACAAAACTCCGACATCAGGATCCCGCCTATTCGCCTCTTACTCAAACATACGTTGTAAGCAATTTGTTGATTAAAATCTGTGATTTTTATAATCCCATCAGTACATCAATTATTTATTGTCGGAATATAGACTTAACATCTACATCAATGGGGTGATATTGATGTATTGTAGAATGTTATAGATAAATCCATTGTATAATAGCAGCGCATACAGTACTCATAGAAAACTGACATTTTTTGATAAATAATATAACAGTAATATGATACATGTTGAGCTGCTATGACGGGTGTGGCGCCAGGCAGAGTTTCTAGACACCTAATACCACTTTTAAATATGAAATACTTACTCACTTAGGATTTTGGGTTTCGTTTTACGGTTCTGATCGGTAGTATTTGGTTTAGAGTAATATCAGTAGCGGTGCCAAAGGGGGGTGGACAATCTCAGATATTATCCCCCCTCGGACGTAAACCCGGCTCCGCCACTGAGTAATATGATACATAATAAAAGCTATATGGATAATATTTTATTAGGCCTGGACGATATTGATCCAAGTGGATAAACGATAGTTAGTACTTGGTTTATTTATACATAATAAAAGCTGTATGGATAATATTTTATTAGGCCTGGACAATATTGGTCCAAGTGGATATGGCGATCGTTAGTACTTGGTTTATTTATACATAATAAAAGCTGTATGGATAATATTTTATTAGGCCTGGACGATATTGATCCAAGTGGATAAACGATAGTTAGTACTTGGTTTATTTATACATAATAAAAGCTGTATGGATAATATTTTATTAGGCCTGGACGATATTGATCCAAGTGGATAAACGATAGTTAGTACTTGGTTTATTTATACATAATAAAAGCTGTATGGATAATATTTTATTAGGCCTGGACGATATTGATCCAAGTGGATAAACGATAGTTAGTACTTGGTTTATTTATACATAATAAAAGCTGTATGGATAATATTTTATTAGGCCTGGACGATATTGATCCAAGTGGATAAACGATAGTTAGTACTTGGTTTATTTATACATAATAAAAGCTGTATGGATAATATTTTATTAGGCCTGGACGATATTGATCCAAGTGGATAAACGATAGTTAGTACTTGGTTTATTTATACATAATAAAAGCTATATGGATAATATTTTATTAGGCCTGGACGATATTGATCCAAGTGGATAAACGATAGTTAGTACATGGTTTATTTATACATAATAAAAGCTGTATGGATAATATTTTATTAGGCCTGGACGATATTGATCCAAGTGGATAAACGATAGTTAGTACATGGTTTATTTATACATAATAAAAGCTGTATGGATAATATTTTATTAGGCCTGGACGATATTGATCCAAGTGGATAAACGATAGTTAGTACATGGTTTATTTATACATAATAAAAGCGATATTGGTTCAAGTGGATATGGCGATCGTTAGTACTTGGTTTATTTATATGGATAATATTCTACATTATCTATAATATTTCAATATACCAATGTTATTACAAGTCTGGAAAAAAATATTTTATTACATTTTTGATTAGAAAAATAACAGTTTCATGAATAATAGCTGAGACTGACTCGGGTCGATCTGCACCGGCGGTTCCGGCACGTAAAGATATTGGTGACAGTAAAACGTTGACGTCATTGGTGGTGTTAGATGGTATTGCTTTAAATGTCGACCCGGATTTCTAAACACCATTTAATCAACTTAGTGTCTACTTCATATCGGTGTTTAGATGTCATTTTGGATTGGCATTTTTTAAATATCCTCTAGCATTTCTGACTTGGCGCGCAATATAAGGCATAGAGTCTATGACAGATCCTAAAGTAAGGAATAAACATTATAGGGTCCAGGCCAAGATTACTTGTATAGTGAAAAACTAAATATAGGGTAGACATGTGGATCATAATCACAGTTCGAAAATCGGATCCCGTCTCGTTCAAAGACACCGTTGGTGTTAGTTCTGGAAAATACCCATTACTAATCAATACTGACCCGTGTTCACCCTTCCAAGGAAAAGAGTTCCGCGGAGATATAGTTTCTTAAAAGTATTCTTGGCCCAACACCAAAACTAGTTTGAGCTGCTTAATTAACAATTAGTACTCCTCGCTTTGAATTAACCCTTTTAAAACTAATTTAAGTTGATTAAGTAGATACAAAGATGTAAAAAGCATATTTTAGAAATATATTCAGGTATAATTTACGATGTTTTTGACGTAATGGAACATTTACATGTTGTCCCTTTAAACGAACTATGTTTGGTCATCTTCAATATTTTAATGCATAGCGCTAATTGTGATCCACTCTTGTATATTCCAGACGATGATCTAGCTCTATCTATGGATGGGGAAGGATATGGGTATGACCAGCCTGGAGATGGTGACTTTAAAAAGAGTAAACAAACCCTGATACTGAACCATGGATTGGACAAAGCACAAGTGGTGGTAACAGACCGGATAACTCTTCATGATAAACCTTGTTATAAAACTGGGTATGGTCGACTTCCGGTAACTTTTGCTCCCAGCCCAGTTATTGTAAGTATTTTTAGCCTATTAGCTATTATTTCTCCAGTCAAATTGTGTTGTTCAATGTTTCTACAGGGAGCCGTGGTGGTTCAGTGAGTTAGACGCTTGTTCGCTAACCTGAAGCTCCAGGCTGGTATTCTCGAACCGATCTTACGACTAGGATGTCCCAGGATCTTATCTTCTAAAACTGTTTCTAGGATGTCCTAGCACTAAGATCGGTTCGAGAATACCTGGCCAGGGTTCAATCCCTCTATACACATTGGCAAACGATGGTAGCAGAACTTTTCATCTGAGGAAGTATATCATAATTTCATGCAACTAATATTATCGTAAAATAAAATGAGTGTTCCATGAAACAAAATTCAAAACATAAGAAACATCTTCAGAATAGAACATTGCTATATTCTAAAATGAGTTGCATGAGATTTCAGCAATAGCCAATCATGTTGTTTATCTAGAAGTCATATGTAAAATAATAGGTCAATCAAACACGTTTGAAGGGAGACTTTATTATTACTAGAAAATTTTCATGGGATTGCAATGTAACGTCTGAACACAGAGTTCCAAGCAACACAACTTACATACTATTACTCCTATAAGTATAATATCTTCATGCGTACCATTAATATAACTGACGTGTTTTTGCAGGAGAAACAGCCAGTTTCCAGTACTGTATATTTTGCTCAGCCTCCCAACTATCTGGGGTTATCCATTATAACTTGTATGTGCTGTTTCTGGCCTATTGGTATAGCTGCTACATGTTATTCTATTGGGGTAAGTACAGCTCATTTATAAACTTCAGGGCACTTCACACCAATGTTAATATGTACTGATGATCCGTACAACGTACATCAAAAGTGTGTAAATAACATGATCAAATTGAAATTGGTTCACCGCCGTTTGCCACGCTCCCAAAATCTAACATGGCAAAACAGGGCCGTAACTACAACAAGGTAAATGAGACAAATGCTTTATACCGAATTAGACAAAAAAGAAGTTGTAGATTCAAAACTAAAATAGGATATCCGCTAAATTTACGCTTATTAAATGTCTACGGTAAAATCGATTACCGCTTGAATTCTACTGAAAGGGTTGCGATAAAAGACTGTCTAGTTACGGCCCTGTACAATGACAGTTGCCTGAGGTCAGATTGCTGACACTAATGATATTCATAATGTTGCCTTTTCAAACCACGCTTCATGGTAAATTATATATTCTGTACACGAAACTGACAAATTACTACCTAATTCAATTTCCTTATTCTTTTAGTCTTCGAATGCAGCTGAACGGATGGACTTCGCGACAGCTAAATCAAATGGACAAATAGCTAAAAGATTGTGTATTGCGGCAATAATTTGTGGAATTACCATGTACGTTCTGTGTGGAATCCTGATTCATAAATATGTGGTGATGACGCCTTAATTGAAGGAGCCATCCCGCAATGCTAACTTAAAGGATGTGTCCCGCTAAATCTTATCCTCGTGTTTCATCATATCTGTAAGGGTCGGTGGTTTTTCTTAGAATCATTTATTACAGGGGATGAATAGGGGCCGCAGAATTGTCAAGGGGAGGGGGGAGGGGGAGCGGGGCGGAGGCAACATCACCAGACATTTAAATACTCAATGATACGAAATTTGAAACTGGGGGCCGGGCAAATACTCCACCCTAGAAATGCCACTGCTGGAAATATTTCCGTTATATTGTCAAATTATAGATGTATTTTGTGAGATCGTTATTCAAAGATACCATTGATAAACCTTACTCTCAGTTATCAGCAGGATACTTTTAAACAATTCAACTTCCATAAAACTCCGATGTGAGACAATGGATTAAGTATAAGATTTGAACGACATTTAGAAGTGAGGAATACCGACTACATATCACAAACACATGACAATATTATAGAATAAAACACACTCCTTTAATAAATAGTTTTAAGTGATTGAAGAATACTCACTGCTTAAAAGTTCCATCATTTTTTGATCAAAGAATTAAAGAAAAAAGTCAATAACTACACTACCAGACTGCCTTTCAAACAAAAAAGTACACGCGACTGATAAAACCAAGAACACAGACTTCAGAAAGTTAACTTATTGAAAGCAAGGATATTGTTTTATGAAATTAAACCGGTGGAAAATTTAATAGAAATTTATCAAGGCAATAACATTTCTACAAAAAGGCGATATTGAAATTGATATTAAAAAATGGGTAAATGGAACCTAGAATATTAGTCGTCGTTATCAGCGATATCATATTCTCGAACTTTGTGCATTTCATCAGTGGCTCAACTAACATAGGGACTGGTGAACCGAGTCTACGAGCCCCTTAAGTGGGTTCAGACCCCAGAAACAAATGCAAGAGAGGGGTCCCCAACCCACATGAAGTCCACGGGCTCCCACTAATCAAGTTGGGTCACTGCATTTCACGTGGATTATCTGTATGTGCTCTGTGTGACTCTTTCGACAGCTGTACACACCAACTCCCATACTCGTCCCACGGTTTGGTGTTATGAAGTATGCTCTATAATTCAGGACACGATTAACCTTGTTATCTTCACGCTTAAGATCTGCATTTCATTAGATTCCATTACCCAATAAATTGTTGTAAAATAAAAATGTTCAGATTGCTACTTTCATTTTCCTTTCATTTCACTCTATACAATTTCTATAAACTATCAAATTTTTAAATTGGCTCGAAATAGCTTAGCGTAAAACTCTAGTCCATTTCATTTAATAAGAGTTTTATTGGCAATGAAATTTCTAGAGTAGCACAAGTAAAATAGAAAATGTGTTTTTTAAGTTAATGACCTATTTTGGTTTTCATTTAAGAGAAAATGAAGAGTAATAAAGTACAATAACTCGTTCTTGTTAAAATATAAAAACCGTTATTTAAGATATTGGTAATAAAAATATTTCGGAAAGTTTTCTTGTATCATTTAATGAGAGTTTAATAGACCATAGAAGCTTTATACAACTGGGAACGATTCGAAATGGAAAAACAAGTTACAGTAATTAGGTTCAGTTGTGAGATTATGTTTTAAAGACGTTTGTTTCACAACGGTGTGGCTCGAACAGTGTTACAATGCCAAGCTATTACGCACTTCATCTTATACCTTGACTGGATAGCTACTATTCTTGTTTCACGGAATGCAGCGCTTTGATTGGATTTTATGCAAGCGAATATAGCCAATCGAGGCCTCTGATAGGTTGTATACAATAGTGCACAGCGATGCTTTTTAAAAACTTCCGTGATACAAAAATAGTGGCTATCACAGTTAAGATAATAACTTGGCATTCTTCCATGGACGTATGGACACCGCTTCCATTGATATTGACGAGGAAAGTAGACTTGCTTCCACCTGTTTTCATTACCAGTAGCATCCTGTCATTACGAAGATCCTTTCTACCAACTGTATAGAGAGAAACTAAAACAGGGCCTAGTTTTTCTGACCATCCTCCAGCCGACAACTGTTAAAGTGGAATCAGAGTCTGGAACAGAGGTAGATGTTTCGGACTGGCAGCTGTAATGAGGTTATGTACCTGAATGTTTCCATTTAAATTGAAAAGAGTTTATGAATACAAGCAATAAATATCACATTATTCTCCGATATAAATAGATTCATATGTGACCAGTCTAATCAAACTTAGACCCAACTTTCGTTTCGTTTTCTTATTAGTTGTTATTTTGAGTATAACCACTAACTCTGATCACATCCTAAAAATCTGATTGGTCAGAACTTTTCGTTTGCACATTGACAGAGCTTGATTTTATCTAATTAATAGTAATTATTAGTAGGGAAATTAGATTATCCATCACATAAAATGTCTTTCACGTTTTTAACTGCCCTTCTATTGTCTTCGTGTCACATTTCCTTTGGCAGGTTCTAATCTTTCCTTCATTCCGTGCCACGAAAACTTCAATACTACATCGGTATTCACACGGCGAGTTTAAATTATATACATGACTAAATATTTTCACTGTTAAAATAGTGCTCAATACCGTAATTGTAGAGCGATATAGAAATACTACTGTTAAAATAGTGCTCAATACATCAATTGTAGAGCGATATAGAAATACCACTGTTACAATAGTGCTCAATACATCAATTGTAGAGTGATATAGAAATACCACTGTTAAAATAGTGCTCAATACATCAATTGTAGAGCGATATAGAAATACCACTGTTACAATAGTGCTCAATACATCAATTGTAGAGCGATATAGAAATACCACTGTTACAATAGTGCTCAATACATCAATTGTAGAGTGATATAGAAATACCACTGTTAAATAGTGCTCAATACCGTAATTGTAGAGCGATAGAGAAATATCACTGTTAAATAGTGCTCAATACATCAATTGTAGAGCGATATAGAAATACCACTGTTAAAATAGTGCTCAATACAACAATTGTAGAGTGATATAGAAATACCACTGTTAAAATATTGCTCAATACATCAATTGTAGAGTGATATAGAAATACCACTGTTAAAATAGTTCTCAGTACTTCAATTGTAGAGTGATATAGAAATACCACTGTTAAAATAGTGCTCAATAATCATAATCTCAGTAAGGTTTAGGACACTAGGTCATCAGAACCTACTTAATATCATAAACCTAATAATATTGAGAAAAGAACGACCTAAAAGCAATCACTCCATTGGCCTAATATGCTAAAAAATAATCATTTCATTACATTAAAAGGAGCAATACAGTTGGAAGTAAAACTCCATTTATATTTAATGGAGTCGCTCAGTAATTTAATTGATAAATTGAGGTTTTGTGATTACTCTAGTGAAAAAGTGCAATATTGCCATTAACGGTCAATTTGATTCGTGAGAGACTTGTAACAAGTTAGTACAACTTCATATACTGACCTAGGAATAATTCACACTTTGTTAGTTAAAAGCGTGTATGTAAATTTAATGTGTACTCTAAACCCTAGATGCAGTAGATGGTAATACAGTTGGATCTAATAAACACTGGTTCATCTGTCACAGTGTCAAAAATTACAGCTATTGAATTCAATTCTTTGAGACTTGCCATAGCTATCAAGTATGATTTTGTCCCAGGAATTTGGCTTTTAACCTATTTTTGAATTTTTTGTATAAAAATGATATCCCCAGATATCGAAAGTGAAACTGCGATTGGGATCGTTTTTCTTGTTTGTTGTTTTTTGTAATGTTTTAACAGGAAGGGGAGGTTAAAGTATGTCAATTCCTGGTCACGCCCTGACTTGCTAGAAACACGCTCTTCCAGAACTGATAACAAGTTAGTTCAAACTGAATAAAGTTTTTGGGTTTAGACTGGAGAGTTATTGCGTTGAAGATGTTACTGAACCTCTAACTGTTACACTGTACTCAACGACAGGCCACATTTCAATCAATCAATCAACATCAATCAAGCTCAATGTAATTACGTGATTCTTGAATCTTGTTGAAATCGGAATCATTTTCTCATCTCGCCATTTTATTTTCAATTAGAGATGTGAAATCAAACTCCAGAAAACTGGTTCAATATCAAACAGTATTTCATCTGATAGATCTAGTCTTGAATAATTTCCGCCCGATAGAATCATTTCATTTGACGAACAGGTTCAAACAGCTTGCAGTTAACAGTGCTAGATATAAAATAAAAAATCTGTTCGCAATGGAACAAAGAGAAAGAAAATTAAAATAACAATTTGACTTCACGGTAATGGCAATGGGCTATTTCACAATGTCAAACTATTACGAACTCCTTGTATCACGGTTTGACTGGATTGTTTGCAAAGGGAGGTTTTTTAAAAAATCTTACTTAAAAGGGGATTTATATGTGAAATGATGCAATAACTGATAATTAACAATTTGCAACGAGTCGTTGAAAATGAAGTTCTCAGAGTCGGAGGGTCGATCTGAGCTCCCGTTATATTTACCCAGACTATTTCATACCTATAATAGTTCTATATTTGTTTATAAGACTGTCTGTCTGTTCAGTGATATTCAAGAGGCATTCCGTTTTTTTGTAGGTCGAATAATTTTTTTTGCTCAAATTTGTGAAAACTATACACCAAAAGAAATGTTTCCCTTTACGTATCTGAAAGTTTTAACTAGACAAATGCAGTCGGTAATGTTTTAACGCCAGAATTATTTTAATTTATATTCGTTATGTTTTTTGGAAGGTGTAAGAAAACTACTGTACGTATTCTAAAGGTTTCAGCTAATAATATCGAGCTATTATAAAGCCAACACTACGTCAAACTGCTTAATTAACAATAAGAACTCTCCGTTTTTAATTAACCCTTTTAAACAAATTCAGTTTGATCAAGAAGATACGTAAATATAAATAGCATATTTTAGAAATATTTTCAGGTATAATTTAGGATGTTTTTGAAAATCAAAATTTTGCATCCTGCACCTTTAAGTCTTGGTTCAGCTGGGACC